AATCTTTGTTTTCTTATCACTTCAGATGAAAAGAAAGGAAGTTGCAGATTTTTATTGCTGCTTAATTGTTAACTGTTAAACCTGTATTGAAGCAGCGGATCAAATTTCCTCTGGATCACAGTGGAGCAGTTCCATTTACTGAAAAATCCCAAGCAGGCCCTGTTTGAGGAGAAAGAGTCTTAGATCTTGAGTTCACTGCTCGGTACTTATCTGTGGGACAGGGAAAGTGCTGCTCTTGAAAATCACCTATTTCGGGAAATAGGGGATTTTTTGGGGGGGAAATTTTGGAAATTTTTGGGCTTTTACCACTGATGCAGTGCACAGAGATGGTTTGCCCCCAAAAAATTGAATAAAGCATATTTTGAAACCTGATGTTTTTTTTTTACATAGATTCATAGAATCATAGGATATGCTGAGTCGGTCATGCATGCATCTCTTTTTAGTGGCAGCTTTGAAAATGTTGCCTAATGTGATTGAAAGAATCTAAATTACATGTTGCAAAGGTGATGTTTTTCCATGCCTTTAGTTGTTATCTTGAGCCAAAAAAAAGGCAGCACATGGAGGCAGGTGGAACAGCACTCTGTCTCTGAAGCAGAGTATTGTTCATTGCAGTAGTTAATGAAAGTCTGGATTTTTTTTAAAATAAAACAGTCAAACTAACAGAATTAACCAAAAAAACTACCTTTATCATAAATAGTAGCTTTTGAAACAAAAGCCATAAATTGCATGTAAGGAAGACACTTAAGAGTCCAAAGCTGGATGCACAGGTGTGTAGTGTGATGTCTTCTACCAAGTATTTGATGTTTTAGGTCTGGGTAGTGTTTTGATAGTGTTGATCTGTACTGATATCTGAGGGATTCCCATGTGGAAGTTCACAGGCTGTTGTTTGTTGTGTAAATTTTCAAGGTTCTTTTATGGCCTGTAGCTATCCAGAGTTTGCAGCTAAAGTTTGCATAGGAAATGGTGAGCTCAAAATTGGACCTAGAAAAGAGGAGTGAGGAGTCTTCCTCTTCCATCACTCTGCTGGAATGGTAACACCAACATCTAAAAAAGAAGAGGTAATTGAGGCAAATAAAGACACATCCAGCAGTGTGAGGTATGGAAGGAAGCCACTTTTATCAGTGCACGTTCAGGGTAGAGCTATGTGTGATGGTCTCTGGTGTCTCATCCCCACGCTTCCTTATCACATCATAAAATCACAGAATAGTTTGGGTGGGAAGGGACCTTAAAGAACATCCAATTCCAATATCCTGCCATGAGCAGGGACACTTTCCACTGGACCAGGTTGCTCCAAGCCCTGTCCAGTCTGCCCTGGAACATTTCCAGGGATGGGACGTCCAGAATTGGATTTATTTCTGCTGTCAAACTGGGACACCTCTAGGCAGTGCTGCCGTGTCCTGCTGGGACTGCAGGTGTTCCCTGGTGCAGCAAATGGACACTGACAGGCAGTTTTCACTTCTCACCAAAGTTTGGGCACCTGAATTGTACCTTTAAGAACCCAAGTGGCTACAGAAATTCCCCACATGACCTGTTATTACAGGCTCAGGTGAGAGTGTACATGCAGTTTTATTGCCAAAACATGAGGTTGGCAGAAATGACTCATACCTGGGAAGATCTCAGCTTTGCTCTTTGATTTACTTCTATCTACCAAGTATAAAAATATTTCCAAGAATACAGGTAGGAATATGCTGTTCTCCTGTTAGGGCAGAGCTCTCACTGGCTCTTAGGTGTGTTTATATAGCTCATAGGATGTATTTTTGAAGCTTTAGTATAAAAGGAGCTATGTATACATTTTAAGGAATCTTCAGTGCAGTAGGCATGAGCAGTTCCTGGAGAAGGGACCAGAATATGGGGCTCTGCCCCTTCTCCTGGGAGTCTCTTTCTCATGGAGTCATAATTGCCCTCCAGGGTTTTCTCTTCATGGCTTTGTGAGTTTTGAATTCCTGTGAGCTGGCCCAGCTCCAGCAGGAGGGCAGAAAGCAGCCTCAGCCCAAGATCTGCTTGAAGCCTGCTGGTTCAGGCACTTTGCAGGAGGTGGCATCTGCAGGGGGAAAAATTCCCAGCCCTGGGAGAAGTTCCCAGCCTCCCAAGTGAGCTCTTAACGAGTGGGGTACTGTTTCAAGGTGACAGAATTGTCTTCTGTGGACCTGGCTTTTGGTTGTTGGATGTTGTTTTGCCATTTGTGTTTCAGTGTGAGCAGAGGGTACCTGCTCTGCAGGTTTCACATGTGGTTTCAAGGTCAGCTCTTTCCATGACCATCCCTGATGACCAAGTGGGCTTGGAGTGATCCAAACTGAACAGCTCAATTTGCTGAGCTGGTTTGAAAAAGTGGTTTTTCTTCTCTATTTCTTTTCTCCTGGGAAATTAGAGGTGCTCCATCCCATGACATGACTACAGGGCTGCTGGTGCTGATGGGGAGGTGGGAGGAATTAATGGCCAGAAGCAAAGGATAAGGTGACACTGTCACTTACAGTGACAGCTGCATGAAGTTCATCAGCATGTTCAGGAAACCTCACCTTCCCTGTCAGTTCATCACAGTGGAGCTCAAGGAAGAGCTAACTTAACCTTTTTCTCCAAAACAAGCCATCTGTTGAACACTCCTTCCTGTATTCCTTTGGCATCTGGATTTTAGGTGTCTGCATTTAAAGAGGAGGAGTACCTAAGAAAAAGAAAAGTAGCTGAGATAATAATGTGTAGTGCCAGAGAGGAGTCCATCCCCTGCTAAAATTTCTGGTTACTGATCATAGAATCAAAGGATGGTTTGGACTGGGAGGAACCGTAAGAATAACTAAATCCAGCCCTTCTGTCATGGGCAGGGACAACTTCCACCATCCCAGGCTGCTCCAAGCCTCATCCAGCCTGGCCTTGGACACTTGCAGGGATCCAGGAGCAGCCACAGCTTCTCTGGCCAACCTGTGCCAGGGCCTCCCCACCCTCACAGCCAAGAATTTCTTCCCAATATCCAATCTCAACCTTAAATCTTACTGTTATATATAAATATATAGAAATAAGCTTTATAGAGCCTGATAGGCTCATGCCATTTATCAAACTGGCATCAAAAATTGTTCTTCTGTTCATACTTTTCACAAAACTTCCCTTTGTCTATTATTCCACAAATCACATCCTGTCGTAATCGGAGTCAGGATAGAATTTGCATTGGCCAGGGTGGAAAAAAAAAAGAAAATAAAAGGAAAAAAAGAAAAAAAAGGCAAAATACCCCCAAGCCCCTGTCTGCAGGAGGTTTTGGGGCAGCAATAGTTCGGGCAGTTGGCTCCCAGCAGGCACAGCACAGTTGGGAAGGATTATCTTTCTTCATGCCTCTGCTTTCTACTCTACTGCTTTGGAGTTTTTTCTCTTCTTCTGCATTTTCCTGTCAGTTTTCCTGATTGATTCTTACTGCTGTTGCTATAATGCATTTTTCTCATACAGCCTCCTTTAAAACACCAGAGGTGTGCTCATGCCATGCGTCCTTCGGCGCCGTCTCCTTCCTGCGTGTGTGCTTACCTAACAACTTGGAAATAGCAAACAAAGCACATGATCTGAGAAACAAGCTGGTATTTTACCCTAAGGGAAGATTTTCTCAGCGCACAAATCAAGAGTTAAATAGTTAAAAATGCTGTATAATATAGATCCAGCCGCTCTAAGGCTCGCTCCCACGTAGGAGCGAAGTTATTTGCCTACATAAATGTTGACACAGTTGAGCTCTGCGTTATCAAATCCACTGTCAAAAGCTGACCCCGGGCGTTTTGCAAGGAAGATGATGATTGTCTCTTTAATGACATAAATTCTGTTGTGCCTGTTTAGGAGAGTTCCCCACAACCCTGTCATTACTGTGCCCCCGCCAGTCACATCCCTACTGGCACAGCTTTGATGGGGAGTAGCTACAACACCCAGCTACAAGGGCCTCCTTTTAATCCAGCTCTGTGATTATCAAACACCAATCAGACAATTGAGTTGCTGCAGAAGTTGGCCAGCCCTGTGCTAAGAGCTCCTATGGAATTACAGAATCAGAGATGTTGGAGATGGAAAGTGCATTAGATCATCCAGGCCGTCGTCTTGCCAGTACATGTTTCCTGCTGCATGGTTTTGGGTGGTTGTGGGTTTGTTTGGGTTTGTTTTTTTTTTTGTCCCTTACATTTTATGGCTGAAGATACTCGAAGAACTGAGCCTTCCACTTAGATCCTCTGGAATCTTCCCCATGAAGTTTGATGGCAAGATTTTTCTTTGCCTAAAACATGCCCTAAATTTTTCCATTTCTTTATTTCATAATATTTCATATTATTTCAAGTCTACATTCTCATCTTTCAGTAATTCTCTCTGGTGTTAACAGCCCGTAAATATGAGTGGAATAGTATTATGTGCTCTTGAATATTAAATGTATCACTTATCTTAAGTGCTGCATGTTCAGTTTTTCAGGATTTGGGAAAATTCTACTGATTGAAGATGGGTTTTAAATTGAACTGCTAATAGTATAATTTCTCAGACGCATATTTTATTGTAGTATAAGAGTGGTCTGTTCTGGTGTCATTTGAGAAATTGTTGAAAATTACCTGAAAAGGCCAATTTGAATTGGAAATGAAAATGTTTTTCTATGGAGGAGATAAAATTTAAGCGATTTTTAACTCCATTGTGGCATTTAAACTGTGAGGAGACTGTGTGCAGGCAAGTCTGCAGAGGGCATTGCAGGGAAACCAAAAAAACTAGTTTTCTATTAGTGACAGAATTAGTGGAAGTTGCAGTCTAGTTACTGGAGTCTTCCCCAGCCCCCCCATCCCAGCTTTCCATTCAAGTTCTTCATAACTATTGTTCTTTTTATAGTTTTACTTGTTTCTGTGGGATTTGGGGTTTGCCTGGTTGTTGTTTCTTCCTCAGAGCCTGCTCTTCACTACCAGAAGCTTTGAGTGCCCAGAGAGGGCTGTCTCAAAAGTTTTCCTTTGTCTTGACCACTAAGAGCTAGATCAGTATCCTCCCCTTAAAAAGAAAAACATTCAGTGTCTATAAAAAGGACAAATGGACTTCTTTTTTTGCAGTCACCATGGGAGAAGGACGGGGTTGGTGTGTGCTGGCGCACAGCCACGCTGGCTTGAGCCGGTCCCTTCAGAGCTGCCCTCTGGTCATGAAACAGCACCTTTACCCCAGTCCTCTGCACGTTCCTGAGGCATTACCTCTGTTTTTCTTTTCCAGAGGTTGAGAGGGTTGGGTTGGAAGCCCCCAGAAATGGGGTTTTGCAGGGTGGGAGTGTGTTGGGTGCCTGCTGGAGGCACAGCACGCGTGGATGTGGCAGAGACACGGCCAGCACTGCCCAGTCCTTACTCCATCCATCCTCACTCATTTGGCTCATCCAGAAGGGATGGCAGGAAAGATCAGCAGTGATTTGGGTGGAGATTGATTTTATGGAGCCTGATGGACACAGGGAGCATGGAGCAGTAATCTGCCTTCCCTCAGATTCCAGGAAGCCAGATGCAGGCATGGGGATGTTGATGAGAGAGGCACGGACGGATGAGTCTTGGCAGCCAGAGTTCTCTCCCTGAGTGTACTGGAGGTGTTTGAAGTTCAGGTCTGTAACTGAAGAGGGAGATGAATGAGGAACGTGAAAATGGGTGGGTTAGAGAGTGAGTAAGGGAAAGTGAGTGGGTGGGGAAGGAGACTGGCAAGTGAGAGAGGAGGTGGGAGGGGGTGAGTGCAGGGGGGAGGGAGGTAGCAAAAAGTTGGAGTAGCGTTATGGGCTGGCTCTGTGAGGATACCTGAGAGACTTGGGAAGAAGCACCCTCCTTGAGACAGGCAGAGCTGACAAGGGTGTGGGATGTGCAGGACAGCACACAGACCCTGCTGACCTCCGCTGCTTCCCAGCTGGTTTGGATGGCATGTGATTTACTCTGCCTGCACTTCACTGTGTCTGGCGTGAAGTAAACAATAATCCTCACCCTGGTCAGCTGGTTGCATGCTGCTGCTGTTCCTGCAGAAAGATGTCAGACCTTAATTATGCATTGCAGGCTTTTCTGGCTCTCACATTACAGAGAGAAACTTTTAGTCCGTGTGGTTTCTTGCAGCTTGTAGTGGGCATTCCCAGGAGCTGAAAGGACTCAAGAGCTGCAGGGGAGAAGGAGTTACCTGACTAATAAAAGGTGCTGAAATTACAAACCTGCAATGCCTCAGCATAAAGACAGCTCCCAAACTTGAAATTCCTTTAATTTTAATGGAAGAGATGGGAAAGTAAAGTAAGTTTGAATCATTACCAGACCCTGCCTGACAAGGCTTTTATTAGTATATATAACTATAAATGCTGTAAGGCTGGATGTAGCTCAGTGTGACTAATCTGAACCTGTTTTTATCAATTACTATGGCAGAGTTACAGCCCCAGCTGTGACCTCTCTGTAGTCAGGTGCAGTCAGGCTGTTGTCCAAGGTAAGGTCTCTGCTGCCCTGTTAAATCATACTGAGTTGTACACAGTACAGTCTCAATATTTACTGAATAGAGCAAGTCCTTTCGAAGCCCAGATAGAGGTGAGTGACTACAGGAAGTGACAGTTCTTGTCTTAGCTGCCAAAAAGGTATTTACTAAGGAATAACTTCATACACAGTGTTCTGAAAACACCAGTCCCTGCAGGTTTCCATCGGTAGCCAGATAAGATGCTTTGACACCCTCAAAATAAAGAATTTCTCCCTAATACCGAATCTAATCCTGCCCTCTGGCAGTGTGAAGTCATTCCCTCTTGTCAGGTGACTCCAGGTCCTTGTCCCAAGTTCCTCTCCAGCTCTCTTGAAGCCCCTTTAGGTGCTGGAAGGAGCTCTAAGGTCTCCCTGGAGCCTTCTCCAGGCTGATCAACCCCAACCCTCTGGCCTGTCCTTACAGCAGACGTGCTCGACTTTGGACCATTTCCAAATGAAATCTTCACCTTGAACATGGTCACCTGTTGCAAAGTAAGTTTCCAATAAAGCTTGGAACTGCAGCCAAGACAGCTTGTACAGTAGTTAGTGTTTACACTTTTTTTTAATCCTAGACAAATCCAGAAAAAAATTGCTGTACTTAAGCAGATATTTGTTACTGTTAAAACAGCCCAAATCTCTTGATGATGTTCAAATGCTGTAGTAACTGTGCAGAATATCCAGAGGAACGTGGGGCTGTATTTAATACAAGCCTATTGGATTGTAGATCTGTCAAACCCTCAAATTTGCATTCTTCACATAAGCAGAGATCCTGGTGGTGTTTACACATGCTTTGGGAACTGCAGGAACTGAAGTGCTTTGTCAAAAAACTCTGCTGCCAATTGCCACCTGTGGGTCTGCAGGGACACAGTTAAAATATTTACAGTGGCAAGACTAACTAAAGTTTGTTTATTGTTCTGCTTGATATTAAAACTTACCACAACAATTGTAAGAGCAGCGTGAGATCTCTGTGGAAGTGTGGACAGATTCTCAGTGAACACAGGAACAAGAACCTCAAAGTTTCCCTTCTGGCTAATTAATAGTTTGTTTTTGTCAGTGACAGGGTTGCGCAGCATTTGCAGTAAGTTTGCTTTGTCTTTGGCCATTTTTTTCCATATGGGTGTGTTCTTCCTTTTCATTCTGTTGTTTTTCTTTGCTTTTTTTTTTTTTTTTTCTTTCTTCCCTAACACAGCCACTCCTTTTACTTTAAGAATAAATGAGCTGCTTGCTGAGCAGAAAAAAAACAAAGTTTCATAAACAGTGCAGTTCTGATCCGTGTAATCCTTTATTACCTGTAGGGGCAGGTGCAGGAAGCTGCTGCAGGAGTGGAGGTTACTGACTTCCCCAAGGCTTGGGTTACATAAGGGGTCAGTACACTGTGGCATGTTGTAGCTGCTGCAGTGAAAGTTGTGAACAGCATGATCAAAGGTGGATTGATGAGAAGTAATTTTGGCTTGGTTTGTTTCATTTGATTCAACCCCAAAGAGTTCTGAGCCTTTCAGCTCGTATTTTAACCACCACACTGGTGTGAAGCTACAGGATCACAGGATGGCTTGGGTTGGAAGGGACCTCAAAGATCCAGCTTTGTTCCAACCCCCTGCTATGGGCAGGGACACCTTCCGCTATCCCAGCTTGCTCCAAGCCCCATCCTACCTGGCCTTGAACACTTAAGGGATGGGGCATCTTCCCTGGGCAGCCTGTTGCAGTGAATAATTTCTCCCCAATACCAAATCTAACCCTGCCCTCTGCCAGTGGGAAGCCGTTCCCTGTGTCCTGTCACTCCCTGTCCTTGCCCAGAGTCCCTCTCCAGCTCTCTTACAGCTCCTCAAGGTGGGAGAAAGCTGTTTCCTGCTCTCCCTGAAGTCCCTGCATATTATCTTAAATGTGTTTCCTGCTGTAGTAAAATAGATTTTATTACTGGAGGTTCTGTCTTCTAATGCTTTCATTACCAAGGGTTTTTTCTGATTGCTGCTCAAGAGAAAGTGAAGGGAGACACTCAACTGATGTCAGCAAACCAGAAAGCAGCAGTTCATGGCTGTAGTGGCTGTGGAATGCTGAGATAGTGTCTGTAGGAAAACAACCAGACAGCTTCAAGAAGTAAGATTTTTTTTTTAATTGTTTGTGTTGTTTTTTTTTTAACATGTTGAAACCATTTAAATTGCTGCAAAGGGGTAGGGCAAGGAGGGTGGTAAAAAAATACATCGCCCATCCCTTGTGATTTTGTGGTTTTGTCTGAATATTTTTATTTTTTTTTTAATTCTGTACGATCAACTGCACATTTCAGTTGTGATAGCTGCCCCAAGAACGTGTCTCATTTGCCTAATATTAAAAATATGTGTGTGTAATAACATTTTTTCTAATGCTTCCCATCTGGAAGATACATCACACACCTTGGCATTAAAATTCATGGCACCCTTTTTAAATATTACAGGGCTTCGTGATGGAGACTGTTAATTTGCAGTTTTGGGCTGAAAAATAGTTCAAAGCAGCTTATTATTTATTGCCAGAAATAAGTTTTCACTATTTGTCTGTCTTAGTCAGTCTGGTAGAACCACTGTGTTTGTGAGAGGCAATTCATCTGCTTAAAATGTCATGGTTCATTTTTTAGAAGAAATGCTGAGCAACTAACACAAAGTGAGAGGTCTGAAGACCTTCCTCTTCCAGTCCCTCAGGAGATGCCTGGAAGCTTTAAGGTTTTGGTCTAAAATACGTGTAGATCAAATCTGAGTGGCATCACAGCACGTGAATTCCTGGCAAAAATTGTCTCAAAATGGTACGGCTGTTAAAATATAATGGTCATGCCATGTGGATCAGCAAGGATGCATTCTTTCTGGAGGAAACTTAATAAAATAGTGTCAAAGGAAAGGTGCAGGGGTCTGTTGGGATCATAGTATGTAGGAAAGGAGCTTCTGAGCTGCTTGTGTACTTCAGATACATTTAATGATAAGGACTGGTTAATACATCTCCATTTTAAGTGTATAACCATCCTTTGGAAGGTGTGCTTTTCAGTGTGCCAGGCAGCAGGAAGCACCTGTGTGCTCAATTCCAGCTTGTGGTGACATCTTCTGGATGCTGAGCACTGGGAAAATTATTTCACCTGTTACTTGAGTAGTTGATTGGAAGTTGAGTTTTTCCATGGCATGATCCACAGTCAGTGTTGGAGTAATAGGACAAACCAGTCCAAATCTGCTTTCTCCCAGGCTTGTTGTCTCAACTGTTAGAAAATCTTTGCTTTTCAAAAGGCTTTAAAAACAACAATGCAAATTTGAGCACTCCCTGCAAATTTGACCTGTATTTATACTAGTGTGTTCGGAAGAAGCCCATCATACGATTTCCATGCTGTTTTCAGTGTCTCTCCACTTTATTATTCTGAGAAAATTCGATGCATCTGCAGCGTGCACGATCTGGTTTTCTGATACGCAGATGCACAGCCTCGCCTATCTCGTGGAATCAGTGTAGCAACCGCTCTTACAAACGCTGTGACAATGTACAGCCTCCTATCTGAGAACCAGATCAGACTGAAATTGGGACTCGGTCCAAAAAGCAAAATACTGCAATCAATCTACTTACTGTGTCAGCACTCAGCTCCGTTTCTCTTCTGTGCACTGCAGGGAAAGGGAGCGGGAATGCACGCTAGCATCCAGAAGCGGATTCCTGAGTCACGGAGGATGGCTGTCAGTAATAGGAGGTGCCTGAAGGTTCCCGTTTTTTTTAGGCACTGTGTGTGCTAAGAGAGGTTGCAGGCGATGTTCCGAGCCTGGGTGGCACTCAGGAAGTCACTGCATGACACTGGGGATGCCACGTGGCTTCCCCGCTGACTCAGCCCATGTCTGTGAAGTGACAGTGACCGGATCGTGTCACGGCGTCCTTGCTCCTTGGCCTTGCAAGTCATGACCCTCGGTACCAGCGGGGATTTGTGGAGTCAGGCCCTTGCAAAACCGTGCTTGAAGTGCTGGTGTGGTCAGGCTGGGGTGACCTCTTGCCTAAGACTGCTCATTTCCTTCCCTTCCGCCGGCCCTGCTGCTATTCCGGGCTGCGGGCTGGCACCGCTCCTGGTGCGCGGGCATCGCTCTGGGGGCAGGTGGGCTCACCCTCCATCCACTCTGCCTGCTTCCCACTTAACCCTCTCATTCCTCGCTCCCTGGGCTTACCCTTCTGTCCTAAAATTGGCTCAGTCTTGGGAAAATCATCCACCCCCGCTCCTGGGAGAGGGAGACCCATGTGCCCGATGCCGCTCGGCTCGCTCCGGAGCGCAGCCTGTTCTGCACAGCAGCAGGGTCATTTTGGGGTTGGGTCATTTTGGGGTTGTAACACTAAATCTTTCAAAAGTAATCACACTTTTAGAAGTGATTTAAGCACTCAAGTTTCTGGGTGAAAGCCAATTGCCAGGGTTTAATCTGCACCCTAAAGCTCTGCTGGTAAATCTGATCTGGAAGTTCTGCCTGCGTATGGGGGAAGACACCGATAGCAAAATACCTTCCCTGATAAAGAGCAGTGGGACCTACAAGGTCCACAGCAAAAATAAAAACATTTTAAAGGGTCTATAAAGTTGTTATTACACTGTAGATGTGCAGCAGAATGTATGGATGGGGTTTGGCTCTCATATAATTGTATTTTTTAATAATAAATTGGGTTGCAAAGGAACTTGCTGCGGCTGGAGCTCTGTGCTGAAGAAAATCATTCAATCCAACACCATTAACTTTTCATGACTGTGATTACAGCTTGTTGCTTGCACTTCCCATGTAACTTTCAGTGTCACAAGCACTTTTATGCATTCATTAAGCTTCTTTTTTTGGTAAATTAAAATGTTTGGTTATTTTTTCCCATGGCTATGTAGTACATACTGAGTTTCTTTTAGGGAAGTGGTGGGACAGTATGTATTTTGAGCTAAAATACGATGGCACCTAAGAAAACAGGGTTTCTGTTCTTAATTGCCAGTTTTCTTTCTGTCTTTTATCGTGTCTTGGTTTAGAAAAAATATCAACAAGCCCATTGTGATGCTTTTGATTAGGCTTCAGCAGAGATAATAAAAGTGTAGTGTCCCTTTGTGAAAGAAGTTTTTAATTATTGTTAATTGTACTTGCCAGCTTCATTTCTGAAGGGAAACGGAGGTGACCTCATCCTGAAAGTTGTCAGTCTCATGCTGGTGTCGTTCACTGCCTGGAAAAGAGGTTGGGGTTTTTGTTCCTTGTTGCTTCTTTTAATGAGGAGCTATCCACAGGCCTGATGGGCTCTGTGGCTTTGGGAATGCTGTCCAAACTCAGCTTCAGTAGCAGGCTTGTTCCTGAAGCGTTAAACTGAGTTGTATCTTAGGGCATGAGCAGTCTCAGACCTGTGACATCCCCATTCCAGTAACATCTCTGGCAGCAGCCAGTACAAAAGACTGTGGGGAGAGGTGATGGAGTCCTTGTAAAGGACAATTACTAAAAATTCAAAGGATTACTTCTGCTCTTTCATTCTAGTCTAATTATCTTGGGTGTTTCCATTATCTATCCAAAGGTTTAATTTCTTTAACCATTCTCCACTCTTGGCTTTGGCATATTTTCGTGAGGTCCCCACTTCACCTGTGCTTTGCATTTGAACAGATGACAAGAGAGATTTCCTCACCCTTTGGACTGCAAAATGTGCTGGGCAGTGGGGGCTGTATATCTGGGGAGGTTCCAGGGTATCAGGAAAAGTCAGCATTCAGGTGTAGCCGTGATGTAAATGCCAAAATATTTACAGTTGTTTTAGTTCATTGAGCATCTCCGTATGTCGGGAGAAGGATGAGGAGGATACGTTTTTGTCTCTCTTCACTGTTCTGTATTTCTTAAGCTGTTACCTCATTTCATCTTAAATGAACCTTCTCTAAAATACCCTGAACTTTACAATTCCATTTCAGTTCACCCAGTGCCATCTGCCACAGTGTCTGCGATGTATTTCAGTCCTGACGAAATCCCCCTTCCTCAGCGGTACCTCCACACGCTGTCGTAAGGATGATGTGACAAGCCTAGCTGGCAAGTTGTTCCCACCTTTGTTGCCAATTATAAAGCAGTGTAAAGAGGCAAATTCTGACAGCCTGCATCCTCAGAGGTGTTTGAATACCTCACTCATAGTGAAATTACCAGCAGTGAGGCTATTGAGCATCCCTGAGGCTCTGGGCTGGGGTCTCCACTCACCTTTCACTCAAGTAGTCTTTCCCTGACATTCATCACTTCTTTGCCTGACTCAGATGTGTATTTAAAGCTGCTGATTATTCACCAGCATCAAAACATTTACTTGTAGATACAGAGAGCACAGTTCCCTGTAAAAGGGAATGAGCTTTCAGCTGGTTTGTTTTCTAATCCTGGAGAAATCTGCAAGGTCAGTGAGCCTGGCGTGTGTAATGGGTCTCCTCACGGCTGCCAAACGTGTTAGGGACTGTGGTCTGGAGCTCTCAGTTTATCTCATTCCTTTGCTTTCTGTTGCTCATTAAAAGATTTAAAAAGAATAAAAATCTCAGCAGTGTGAGATGTTCGAGCTGTCTGAAATGGTTTTCATTTTGTGGCTCCCAGATTTTGTTCAGGCGAAAGGAGCTGAAGTTTTCCTGAAGCAAACCACATTTTTCAGTAAAAACACTGAACACTGAATTCAGGTCACCTCAGACTGGCTCTAACTCAATCCTTCCTTTGCTATCTCAAGGTGAGGATTGCAAGAGCACCTTAAAGGATTGTTGTGAAAACTATGGTAGTTGGCATTTCCGCAAGCCTGCCAAAATACATAATAAAAGCACACATTTTTAAGCCTTTTCACCTCCCAGAGTTGTTTTGGTATCTTGTTCTTTTATCTTGTTCTTCATCCTGAACAGAAACACAGGAGACTGAGATCATCTCACAAACCAGTGCAGAAATTGTGACCTTTCAAAATATTCCTTGAATCACTGCTCTGGTTGTATAGCTGTGACTCCCAGGTTTCAAAGTGGGGTAAAGAACCTGTTCCTAGCAGGAATAAACAAAACACAGCTCCTGTCCCATGCCAGACAAGCTTTTCATGGTGTGTTTTGGAAGTACATGTTTCACATGGGCACAACTAGTTCTTGATTTAAAAAAATAAAATTACTTGAAACTACTCAGGGCCACGAATAAATGATGGCAAGAATACCAGAGGATTGAGCAACAGGCAGAGGACATGTTGTTTCCTTTAAGAATTCTGACTAGAAATGACGTCACTTAGATAGTTTGGATGTTTGTGAGCACTACAGGACTTGGAAAGGGAAAGCAAATCGGAAAAACACTGGGAAGCTGAACAATTTGTTTTGTTTTATGACTCCCTGGTAGTTTAATGAGGGAGCTATTACTCATGCGCTGTCACTGCACATCTAGAAAATTCCTCTGGGTTTAAAAACTGGCAGGGAAAAGTAGTTTCCTAAAAAACACTGAATTAATGAGATAAAACCCATTTCTCAGGAGTCCCTAACAGGAAGGGTCGGAGGCGGAGCTGTGCAGGGCTCACCGTGTGTTGGAAATCTCCGCAGGGGATTTCAGAGAGCAGATAGAGCTGGCAGGGATTCAGGGAAATGATGCAGCAGATATGCTCAGCATCTGTCTTTCAGGACACAGAACTATGGATTTGGGCAGAAAAAAACCCCACAAGTTTGACTGGTGCCCTCCATTGCTTTGCATCTGAAAATATCTAGGACTGGGGTGTTTAAAGAAAGAGGTTTGTACCCATGAGTAATGATAAAAAGCAGTGTATTAATAATATTGACACATGAAGTGAGGGCTGTTGTATTTAAGGAGAGGAAAAAGGTAGTATTTGTGGTGTGGGCTTAATTACACAGCTTTAAATTGTTACGGTTTCATAATCTGTATTCCTATGGTCTGCCAGGGTTCTGACTTCTTGCTTTGAGTCTGCATTGTTTTATAGTTCTGTATGGTATTTTACAGTGCAGCACAGTGCAGTTTGCATTTTTACTTCAATTATTTTAGCTGGTTTAGCCTATCTTGTCACATTGACACAGGTTACACATTATCCTTGCCTTAAATGGAACTGTAATATAACTCTCATGGCCCTGAGGGCAGGATGAGGGTTGTTCTAGTTTGGTTTTGTAGAGAGCACAGTAAGCAGAGTGCTGCTCCAGTCTGGAAATGCAAGGGAATATTCCTCACCAGCCCCCTGACACAACTATTCCCTCATAGCAGAAGTTACTGTAACTCCTTTTGACAAAAAAATGCTGATAAAGTAGAGGCTGTTAAAAGGGAAATGCATAAGGAGTCTGGAAAGTGTGATGTAAGGATTAGTAATAGAATTTGCAAGCTGCTGTAGCAGTTCTGCTACAGTTTGTCTTAAACTACAGCACCTCAAACATACACATTCCTTGTCTCACTGCAGTGCTGTGTAAATTGAAAATTATTTTAATTGTTAATTTTTCATCAAGAATAGCACCAACTTTCTATGCAGACACAGATGTAGTTCAGGGAGGGCTGTGTATTTTAAGCTTCAGGTCAAAATCATGCTTAGCTGTGTCTCCCTGTACGTGCAACATACACTCTTTTTAGAAATATCCAGTACTGAGCTTTTTGAAACACGTAGATGCCCAATTTATTGTGTCCATGCTGGACTTCTGCTCTTGGGTGTGGAACTGAACTGCCTGGGCCAGAATTAGGAAACACTTCCTGCATGTGATGTGAAAAAGTGCTGGATCACAGGGCACAGCTCAGTTTCCACCAGAACGGGACAGAATGAGACTGAAAAGACTGGGGGGACTTTTGAGGTGTTGAGAAGGTGGCAGGGGTATGGATGTCGTGTAATTTTGGAATCAGAACAAGCACTGCAGA